TCTCAGCAGGTAAGGAAGAGGCCAGAGAGAGGTGGCTCAGCAGGTAAGGGCACCTGCCATCAAGGCTGATGATCTGAGTTTGATCTTCAGTGCCCACATGGTAAGAGGAAAGAACTGTTCCTTCAAGTTATGCTCTGACCATCACATTTGTACGATGTCATGGGTGCACACTTGTATTTATACATACACACAATAAATAATAAAAAATGTTACAAAGAAATTAAGTGGAGGGGGCTGGAGAGGTGGCTTAGCAGTTAAGAGCACTGGCTGTTTTTCCAGAGGACCCAGTTCAATTCCCAGCACCTACATGGCAGCTCACAGCTGTCTGTAACTCTTCTTCCAGGGGGTCTCATGCTCTCATAGAGACATACCTGCAGGCAAAACATCAATGTACATAAAATAACAATAAATAAATTAAAAAAAAAGAAATTAAGTGGAGAGTGATAGTGGAAGACATCAGTGGTGCACGCCTGCACATACATACACGCGCACAACACACACACACACACACACACACACACACACACACACGCACATGAATTTATGTGCCACACAGAGACACACATACATACATACTACATACACATGCACAAGTAAGTTTTTTAAAAAGTGATGATTAAGTTGGGACACATATAATTACCACAGATAATATCTTAGAAGCAATAGAAAAATTTAAATATGAGAAGAAGAAATTATATTCCATAGAAAATGATACCAATAAAATATCTGATAATATGTGTATGTAAGCCCAATAAAAGTAAAGGGCTGAGACAAATAGAATTCTTTTTGGTATTGCTAATATTTGAACTAAGATTTTGTGAATGCCAGACAGCTGTCTACTAATAAGCTAACACTTGTAATTCCAGCTAAATGTTCTTGAAATTGAAAACAGATTTGAAACCAAATTTCAAAGGGAGGACCCATGGCATACCCGGGGAAAGCTACTCTGATAGAATAAGTGAGTCTTTATGGATAGGACAAATTCTTTGGTTCTTTAAGAAGAAAAGGTCAAATTATTG